AGCATAACGCATAAGCATAAGGAAATTGATTGGTCCATTTCCTTATGCATTTACTTATGCTTATATATAGACCAATCAATTTCCTTATGCTTATGCGTTATGCTTTATGTAAAAGCTTGTGCTCTCGGCTTTAGGGTGCCGTCACATACAGCCCGTAATCCGTAAGGCTGTATCCCCATGGAGAAAAAAATAACGGAACGGAACAATAACGGAACAGTAATTGAAAAGAGATATATTCATCATATCTCTTTTCCTCTACTGTTCCGTTACTGTTCCGTTCCGCTATTTCTTTCTCCATGGGGATACAGCCTAATCCGCACCGGAAGTCCGCAAAAGTTACTAGGTATTTTGTCCGTAACGTTACGTGTGTTTTTATCTCCTTGTGTCCCATGGAGCCGTAATTCCATGAAATTTCTGTAAAAATTACTACAAGTTACTAGTTATTACTAGTAATGCTTTTTCTAATTTTATTTATTTAACTAAATTTGACGATTTAATTAAAACTTTTGTTAAAATCATAATATATTCTGTAGTTTTCTTATGAATAAAATACAAATAAGCAATTATAATCTGTTAAATAAAAAATAGTATTACCGTTACGTCTGTATTTACGGGTCTGTATTTACGCTTCATGGGACACAAGGGACTAAAAACACACGTAACGTTACGGACGAAATACCTAGTAACTTTTGCGGACATCCGGTGCGGATTACGGATTACGGGCTGTATGTGACGGCACCCTTAAGCCTTGTGTCCACGATGCTAGAACTCAATCCGAGATCTCGGTCCGAGTCCTCGAACAATAATATTTATACTTGGCTGAATATAGTTAGCGTTGTAATCGAGTTACGATTCTTTACGATGATTTTCTGATCTATGTTATATTGCCAAGTGGTTTATAGATATCATCAAGTGATGCACCGCTTGATTTCGAATGTTTTATTTTATTTAGATGGTCCAGATATTGTGATCTTAAATTATTAATTTTTTTTTGCAATTTCAGTTGTTAGTGGTTGTCCTGTTAATTCTTTGTACTGATTACAGACTATCTGTAAAGCTTGATCTCGTTTCATACGATTATGATAATCAACACTTTTTGTAACATATAAACAAGAATGTTGTTGATATAACATTAATAAAATTTTAACATTTTCCTTATTATCCATTTTTTATTATAAAAGAAGTTTTTTCCGAAAATCAATTTTATATATTATTATACTTTTTTTGAAAAATAATATGTATATATAGGTTACTACTTATTAGAGTTTATCTTTTTCCCTCTACATTGAAAGGAGAAAGATAAACTCTGAACTAGTGCAGCCAGTTCAGCTAAAAAGAACAGACCTTTTATATTGTAATTATTTTAAAAAATGGGTAGTTGCAAAATTTGTGGTCGATCAAAATCGAAATCCAAAAATATATCTATAACTTTTCACATGTAAGTAAATAAAATTAACAATGCTTCGGAAACGCTGCTTTCAGATGCCTTTTTTATGCTTATGTAGAGCGTTATGTTCTATAAACAAATGATTTGACGTTTAAAAATGATAAAACTTCCCTGACGGAAAAATATCTACGAAAAAGTACGCTAAGCAACTTGCAACTACAAACAATTACGGAATACTATACGATTTAAATTTTTTTAGAATGTAGTAGAAATGCGTAAATATTTGCACAAATTAGTTTGCCTTTTTACGCTCTATTATACATTTCTACGAAACGAGCGTAGAATTTCGTTGGTCTTTGAGAAAACTCTGCCGCTCTACGTCTTACCATAAATTTGTACGGAGTTGGTGTAGGATTTTTTTATTTTTCGAACAATCCACGCCGCTCTACATTACTCTACATGTCACTACGAATAACTCAGAATAGGATGTAGTTTTTTATAGTTTTTTTTAGTTATTCGGTAAAACTACGCCATACTGCGTTTTACTGCGATAAATTTTTTCAAATCACGCGAAGAATTTTTTCGATATGTTGAACAATGTACTGAATATATAATAAATATTCTGTAAGTTGCAATGCGCTTTACAATGTTTCGTAAGGAACAAGTGAAAGATTTCTTGATTTAGATTTGCAACGTCTGGATGCAAAATTTTGAAAAAACTACATGTTACATATATATTCAATTATTTTTATTTATACATCATAACAAAATATTATTCTTCAAAGAATACGCATATAAAAAAGATATTACTTAATATAACATCATATATTACTTAATATAATATCGTTCTACATTAATATATATATTAATCACCCAGGCATCCTCTTGGTATTTCGCTGATATAAGATTGACCACTTCTTTGCATTATAATGCATTGTCCTTTCAATGATTCCGGATAACATGAATATAATGGCCCATCTTGATTAGCGTAACATCTTTGAATATGATTCACCTTAACATGAGTTGATGTCAGATAAGGTTCATTTATGACCAATATTTGTCGGAAAAAAATGATTACTTTTTTATTCGCATTACCATCTTCGCTGTCAATATTAAAAGAACAATTATTAGTAATTGAACCTTTAAGACCATCATGAGTAACAATTACAGAATCGTTGGTTTTACGGGACCGATTGTATGATGTACTTGTAAATCTTACACCATTCACAATAACTTTTTTGTACGATAAACAATTACGAGGGAGCAATTCAAATAAGCAAGCACTTTCGACAGGTAGAAGAGTATGTTCTTTTCCTGAACCTAGCAACGTACAATTTCCTACTTTAATAAAATTCAATTTTTTATTTGTACACATATTTCTTCGCAAAATTGTGTGTATCGCTCACCAATTATAATATTAATTTGAAAAACCGGAATTGACCTGTAAAAAACATACCGCCATGCAATTTGAATAGCTACGCGATAAGGACTTGTTTTTATTTGCAAAAGCAATCTATTTTTGTTTTCAAAGAGAAAAGTGTTGGTTGTCCATAATGGTCCCCAATTCCTAATACTCGAGGGTATATGAAGAAGTAGATGAACGTTATATCTCATTGCATGCTCTTCAAAGAAACTCTGCACTTGTATGGCATATTTTAACAATAGCTCGTTAACTGTACTTATCATACTATGACTTATCGATTTTTGTAAACAAATGTGTATTGCAGTAACGAGAAGTGCCAAGTGCAATAAATATTTTTGTGGCAATATACCTTTGAAGCAAATTAAACAATACCATATGAGCCAAGACCGCCATTCCGAGGCTTTCCAAAGACGACGTTCATCGATTCTTCTTGGCAGTCGAGTAATAACCGAGGGACAAACAATAGACTTTAAGCCTTTATTGATAATACGTATGCAATTTGGTGACCCAACATAATAGGGTTCGCCAACAGATGTAAGAAGAATCTCTGTGTGAAATTTGATGACACCTAGTAATACCGAATGCATGTAATCCGGGACCATGCCTCTCACCAAATCAAAGTGTTGCAGATTCATAAGAACGGAGGGACCTTGAACACCTTTCGTGTTATCATTAGTCATCATGTTTTCTCGAATTGATGTATCGGTCCGATCCGGCGGTACATCAACTGATATCGGGTATTTTATGTAACCATTGACGCTTTTTGTCGGATGTTCGCAAAATGTGCAGCCATATGAACCTTAGAACATATATACTGGAAGGGGCATAGCCTATTTAAATACACATAACAAAAGTGTCCCCTACATCTATCTATCTTTGTCTGTACGAAATCGGTCAATGCGCTTGCGCGAATGAATAACCGCTTAAATTGAAAGTAGAAAGATTTAAAATAGGTGGAAGGCATTTGAAAATTTGATTATAACAGGCTGCGTTCCCATTTCGTCTCACTCAGTGCAGTATCCAGTGGCCGCCATTTTGCTGGATACTGCACTGGAGAAGCGTTCCCAAATTACTGGACTGGCTAGTGACAATCGTACCTCGTTCAGAATGTCGTCG